ACTACATAGCATAAAATGAAGAGAAAGCTACTAAAAAGCTCAAGAAGGTGGCAGGGCAGGGACATGCACTGAATGGAGACTCTTTCAAATGGCTTCATTTGAAATATTCAGAAGAGAACTAGGCTCGCTCAAAGAAGCCAAATACATCAAAAGGCAGCAAATGAACAAGGCCCCTTTCTACCTACAGGAATTTGTATTAGGAGATGAGAGAGAGAGAGCGAGAGAGCGAGAGAGCGAGAGAGCGAGAGAGCGAGAGAGCGAGAGAGGAAGAGAGAGAGAGAGAGGGAGGACAGTACTTGGATGTGCTGCGAGTGTGTAAAGGGAGATAGAATTAATGTATAAAATACCTAAAGTACGGTCCTTCAGTGTTTTTATTCACATCTTCTACCCACTTAGCTACATTATATTCTCTTTTGAACCATGGGTTTAAATACCTGCAGAGAGCAATGGAAGGAACAAAGAAAGCAGAACAAGATAGAAAATCTGAAAATACAGAGCACAAGCTTAGCCAGGATGTTCTCACCCTCCAAATGCAAGCGGCTACGCAGATAAACCAGGGTGGACACTGGGTGACTACGGGGCAGTCTACACAATGGCACAGGAGTAATCTCAGCTACCAGGCGCAAGGCAATCCCTCAGGTATTACATTTCTAGGAAAGCCCCTTCCAGTGGCTTCCCACTGCGAGTCAGAAACTCTATTTCAGTCACTGCATTATCAGAAGTCCCATTTGTCCACCTCAAAAGCGTTTTTTTTTCCTAAGACGCCAATCAGTTGGCTCCTTGCTTTTCAAATAATGTTGGTACTTTTTTGAAAATATTCAGGACATCTGCAATTCCAGTCTGGTATTTAGGCACATAAAACCTCAAGACAATTTAAAGGAGCCATGTTCCCTTTTTAGGTTACAATTGCTTTTACAAGACACTCTTTTATTCTCTATAATAGAGTCAAAGCAGGAATTGACTTGAAGTGCTCTCCCATTGGCTTCTGTAACAAGCAGGAGGTGTCCTGCGAGTCCCCAAGCACATTAGCTGCAGTTCCAGCGGTCTTCCATGATCTTGAAGCTAAGTTTAATGATTTAGTGGAAGCCCCCAAGGTTCCTTCCTCCTCTTTATGCACTCCAGACTGAAATGTTCATGGCTGCACTGAGAAATGGCCCTCAGAAGTTGCTTTCCACAAGAATGGCTGCCAGAGAGTAATGCTAGCACCTCCCTGATGGATCTGGCAGCAGCTCCATCAGGCTGACTGTGCAAATCTCAAAGGCAGTAGAACTGGAGGTATAGTTGTTGTTTGCCACAGAGTTCCTTTGACTTTAACTGCGGAGCTAAGAAAAAAACACATCCCCTTATGATTTGCCCTTACAAAACCATTAATCTGACCATTTGAGGACTGGAAGAATTTGGAGGTATTACTGGGATTTCTCATCTTTAAAAAAGTAGCTCCCATGTGCTGTTTGTATAAGACATATTTGAAGGTCCAGTTGGAAACAAGTAGGGAAAAATTATAAAATATTAATTTTTGGTTAAGATCTGTTACTCTCCTTCATATTCATTCTTTGAGTTATTTATAAATATATTTAAACTCAAACCACTATATTTCCAGTTATATTTTAAAATCAGGTTATTCCTCCACAGCCAATTCCCTTATTTTTAGCCATAAAGAAGATACTCTACAAATAAAAAAAAATCCACCCTGAAAGAATGATTCTGTTGATTTTTATGCTTATAAGACCATTTTTTTTTTTTTTGCCATGGTGTGCCTCTAGATTCAGGAGGAAGTCATGTTAGTTTAGCCTTTAGCCACAACCATTGCCAGCTTGCACTTTTCACAGAGATAGCCAATTAAAACTTGTATGAACATTTCCACTGAGACTTCAAACAGAAAGAAAAAGTCAAAAAGCAAATGCAGTCGCTGATAAAGTGAACGGCCTCAGAATAACTCCAGAAAAGCCCATGCAGCTGTCATCAGGTGAAACACTGCCACTCAGCAAATTCAGTTTCCCACAGGCAGGAAGCCACTTCCTGGGGGAAACCTTTGTTCCTTTCACTGACAATCTTCCAAACTCAAAGGACAGGTGCTATGGCCGATCCACAAACGTTCCAAACACATAGCCTGACTTACATGGGATGGACCTTCACCTCTGCGTCAGAGCAGCACTACAGAGCACTCTGGGGACCTGCCATGGTAGCTAGAAGGATGGGCCTTTATCAGACTACAATAAACCTGCCTATGTGGCTTGACTTAGCATGGCTTGTTAGTGCAACATGCAAAAAAAAAAAAAAATGCATTGGACAGGATAGGAGAACGTCTTTGTGTTCTCCAGGATGGAAAGGCAGAGGAAAATCAGCTGGTGCTGTCTGGGCCAGGAGTACCACTGAACAGATATGGGGGCTCAGTCAAAGATCAAATGACCCTGCTCTCAGCCAAGGAAGGGACTTAGAGGGAGATTAAGTGGCAGCCCAGCATGAAAGGGCAGGTGGAGACTGACCTGTGATCCAGACTCCCTGTCTGGGGGCTGTCAGAGCCCCCTGGGCTTATGCCTTGGGATGGGATTGTCTGGGCGAGGGAGTGCCCAGGCTCGGGTGCTTGGGGCTCCCTCCTGTAAAAACACAATATATAATACAAAGTCTAAGCCAAAAAAAAAGTTTATATCATGCAGAACAACATGGCAGATGCAAAACCTTTGAGTGGGAAAACAATGTAACCACGAGGACATTTAGTGTTTTATTTTTTAATTTACAGAGCATGCATTTGGGGTGCATGTTTTAATTCAGGCCCAATTTTTCATCATCCTTCTGGATGATGTGGTGCTAAAGGGATGATGAAATAACAGACCTGAAATAGTTCTTACTCTGGAAAAGAAAAAGGATGTGCTTCCTGTGGTGATGGTCATTCTGCTCCAGCACACTCACATAAATTTCCCACATTATATCATAATCAACCTGTATGACTTATATATGAAAGTATAAAAGTTGCTAAGTCTTGGTATGCTATGAATCAGAACTTCATAATTTCCGTGTGTGTGTGTGTGTGTGTGTGTGTGTGTGCGCACTTGCATGTGTGTGTGCGCATGTGTGTGTGTATGTGTGTGTGTGCACTTGCATGTGTGTATGCGTGTGTGTGCGTGTGTGTGTGCGTGTATGTGTGCATGTATGTGTGTGTATGTGTGTGTGTATGTGTGTGTGCGTGTGTATGTATGTGTGCGTGTATGTGTGTGTGTATGTATGTATGTATGTGTGTGTATGTGTGTATGTGCGTGCATGCGTGTGTGTGTGTGTGTGTGTGTGTTTGTAGATAATTCCCATATAAGAAAGCTTCACAAACTTGGCTTCAATTGATTAACATGAGTCATGTAGCCAAATTCAGAAAATTCTTAAAAATGAGGCAACCTTTCTTCTTCACTGAGAAGTTTCTATTATACTCTCACACTAAATATTAGAACTTAATTATAGCATAGGCAAGGTTTCTTAAAGGGTATGCATAATATAATTTTGTCATAAGTGGAGTTCTATACATTTTTAAAAATAAATGATTGCTCTAGAAAAGATATGAATATTGTTGAATATCAAATGTTCTCTGGGTCCCAAACTCACAGCTTTAATATACTGTTGAACTTTTCAACTTAAGAGCTGTCAGAGTCTATCTATAGAAATACTGTTAGAACACTAAACAGTATGCAAAGGAAGTTCCAAAGAACACCTCACAGCTGTATCTGTGAGCTGCAACCAGGATAAGCGAAGGAGCCCTCGTACCACGTGGCCTCATGCGAACCAAACCAAACAACAGTCCAGGAAGAGTTTATCTGCAGTGAGCCCTAAAGCACCCAAGCACCTTGGGGATGCATAAGATAAACTCTAGTAGATTAGTTATTCGTGATGAAGTTTAAGATGCCATTCTGAACCATGCAATGGTATCACTTGAAATTGCTATTATTTCTAAGGTTAAAAAAAAAGTATCCTCTAATAAATGTTGATAAGCCACTTACAAGACACTACCATTCAGGAAGGTCTACATGTCAGGGTAATGTTATTATTACTAGCCTGAAAAAGGCAGGGTATATGATGGAAAAGCTAGCACGAGTGTCTAATAAGCAGTTAACAAATGCCTCCTGCTACTCGGTTCTCGTAACTAATACAGAGATCATGAGAATAATAACTACCACTAGAGGGAGACGTGAGCAGAAAATTCTAGGTGCCTTGGAAACAGCAAGGGTAACCACTTACAGAGGGCAAGGTCAGTGGAAAGAATACTAAGGGTGTGCTTCGCCCTACGGAGGGGGATAAGGGTTTGTGGATTCTGTTTTGCTTGCACTTTCTTCAGTGAAGAAAGGAACAACACCAAAAACTGCATCATGCTTATTTCATTATAAAGGACTTTAAGTGTAACTTTCAACCCTCCCCTTAAAAAAAATGTGGCTATCATTTAGCACAGTTAGGGTTGCGTTGGTGACAGTGATTCAGGTAAAGAGCAAGTTTAGGTAGATGGTCTTTTAAACGTCCTGCGGAGGACAACTTAAAAGGGATGCTCATTCCATTAGTCTGAGAGAATGCTTAGATAGCAGCCATGGAGACCTCAGAGTGGTGGCTTCAGACCATGAGCACTGGCATGCTCTAATACAGTGAGGGGTCTCCCTTGTGCTTCCAGGGGACAGGAAGGGTGACTGTTTGAAATGGCTGGACCCCAGTGATGAGAGGAAAGGAAAGTTATTGTAATTCCTTTCAAAGGAAACAAAAACACCACAATGGCAGGTGACTGGAGGAAAGGCCCGCAGCAGGGGTGAGACCCCACTATCAGTGAACATTGGTATGGGCACAGTTGCGGAGATGCCTATGTAAAAGAGAAAAGCCAAGGTTAATTTTTAGAGGGCAAAGAGAAGTAAAAAGACAAAAGCAAGTCCAGAGGCACGGTAGGCTAGGCGATGCTTTGACTCTCTGGTTAATTAACACTTCACACTACATACACAGAGCCTTCAAATGACTTTCCCATTAAAGGTACAACTTACTCAGTTGAGTTTGATCGAGGTCTAAATCTTTTTCCTCTGATTTTCTTTTTGCTACCACCCATGTTACCTGAAAAAAAAAGAGCATTTACAGCTACGTATTCATACAAATAAATACTTGTTTTGAGTCTTATTGTATGGCATTTAAGGGTGTAGTTTATAACCAGCATTGCCTCAGAATGCGGGCTTCTGAATCTGCAGGACCCTCTCATGCTTCCTGCCTACTTTGCTCCTGAAATCCTCATTTCTCACCAAGGAAATTTCAAAGAACAGCAAAAGCAAACAGCTGCTCTCTTGTGTTAAACCTCTTTGTTGAGAGAAGAGCTGAATTTCTTATCGGGAAGAACACATTTTTACAGGTACCGAGAACGCAGGTCTTAGATTCTCAATGCTGTTCACTACCTTGCCAGGAGTTACTTCGAGGTCTCCCATTTTCACAGATGTCTGAAATATGTTTTGTGTCTGGAATCCTTTCACTCCAAGAATGAGAGAGTCCATTTGACCTGAAATTAGAAGTATTTACATATCGTTCAAAAATATATCAGATTAATGTTTTTGGAATCACTAAGCAAAATTTCTGAGCATTACTGTACATTAAAATAAATAATAAATAAATAAATCTGAAATGAAAGAATGAAGAAAACATGAGGGTCTCCATGAAGAAGGCAGAATTACACAACATTCAATTTAAGAAAAGTCAAATACAATGGAACCCCATTACAATAGTCATAAATGAGAAAGTATCTGGATATAATGCAAGCCAATTTACAATCTCCAGAACACAGCAACCACAGAGCAAATTCAGCAAGTATTACAGTCACATAACCCCAGTGGCAGGGTTATAATGGGGTACCACCATAGATGTTTCTTAATTGTAAAGCAATGATTTCCATTCAAATATCATGAGAACATGGACTTTTAAGAGATCATATAAAATTTGCTCAACTGAACCTTGTTAACTTAATTAAAGTAATAGACAGGTTTAAATTGATAAAATTATTATCTGAGAGATCTTTTTCTAAACAAACATGCCCCCAATAAACATACTGCATGTTAGGTAACTGTCTGATAACCGCAATGAATCAGATATTTATCATGGAGACATCTCTCACAAAGCCCATGCACCATTGAGCCCTCTGCTGTTTCTATCTACCATTATTAAACAAACTATCTATAAGAATCAAAATCAACACACCTACCTTATACCACAAGGAAAAAGAATTGTGACATAGTCTGAAGCCTAATAACTGAATACGCTTTTGACTGACTAAACATCAGAACCTATAGTAATATCTTCCAAACTCTGGGAATTAATCCTGTGTGTCTTAAAACTCCTCTAGGAACTGTGGACAATAACTTTATGCTTAAGCCACGTTCCAGAGAACCATTCTGGTTAATTACTAATAACAGCAACTGGAAAAGGACTCTTCTGACTGAAAGCAAACAAAACTTAGCACAGTTAACACATCTACTTTCCTATGTTGGAACTTTTTCAACATAATTTTCTAATTACAAAGTAATTCATAGTTGGCACAAATGGCCAGTGAGTGTTCTTGGAACCCACTGCTCCCTCCACTTCTTACTTTTATTTTATTTAAAAAATCTGTACTTGACCAAGAAAATATTTATATCAGAGAGTGCTAGTAGATACCCAGTCATCTCCTCTTAGCCAACAAGTCCTCAGGAATTAACTAAAAGAGTAACTTTGATACTCTATAAAGTGCATGCTATAGGATACACACCCAGACTCAAAAGCAGCGCTACTTTTGTGTTAAGTTCAGTTTCTAAGGAAATGTGCTTAAGAAGTTCTCAGGGATTAACTGTCATGTATCCCTTCATATTCAGTGTCTATAAAGACTGAGCACCACACAGATTGCTTTACAGATCATCTATTCTACATAGACTACCAGAAGAAACCATGCTACCTCTCAATAAACTAGTTCCCTCAAAGTGCCCAGAGTTGAGTGAATCATCTGAAAATTTTCTCCACCCTTTACACCTCAATGGAAACTTAAATTTTTTTTCTACAAAAATATTTTAGTTCCTTTTAATGTGAAGGCAGTTCCTGCCCTGCCCTGTAAAACCTCATATTTAGTTTTTCTAATCATCTACTGTCAACTGATCATACAGCATGCAGACTTGTTAAAGGTGTCAGACATCTTAAGATGCTAGAACAAGAAAATATTAGAGTTTGTGACATAAATATTAATCCTATCTATGCTATTATAAAACTCGGACAAATATTAATCATACTTAATTTTTCAACTAAGATGAAAGTTATAAAGTCTACATTGCAGAAAAAATCATAATATTAAAACATATGATTCACAAAGAAGCAATCTTTTTTTCACAGCAAGCTTAGCTTTGAAATATACAAAATTAAATACTATTCAATGCAGCACTTATATTACCAATTTATCTTAATTGCCTTTATTGAAGCATGACAGTACCCTTTTTCTTTGACTACCAAGCATGACATAAAGCTCACCATGTAAAAATATTTTTTTTCAATACTATGTTCAGTTTCTTGAGCCATGTGCAACATGACAGGAAAAACCCTGGGGTTTCTCTCTGGATTTAGAGTTGTTTTAATTTGGTTTCAATTCTGTAGCCTGGAATTTTTTTTAATAAAAACCTGGTTCTGAGCATATGGCATTTTGAAGTAGAGTAATCAAAGAACAAGGGATACTATTTAACATTCAAGAAAGAAGGAAGAAGTGATCAAACCTGCTGCAAAATAATGAAATGTTCTGACTAATGGAATAATGTGTGATGGAACAGGTGGAAATCTGAAAATGCGACAGAAAAGCAGACCTCTTCTTAGAACTAGATGCTGAGTTTGTGCTGCCTCCAGGAGGAAAGTCGCTATAAAAAGAGTCGCCATCTCCAGGCTTTTTAACATAATCTCCCTGGGGTAACTGTCTAAAGCATAATAAACATTTCAGAGTCAGAAAACAAGACACACACATGAACACAGACATATACAAATATTATTTCAAGAAAAAGGGAGGGAGGGATTAATGGTCTACATGATCAAATCTATAACACATGAGGTTATTAATAAATGCGAAAAGTTCAACTCATTCCAGCTGTGGAGGTCAGAAATGTAACCACGGAGACTTCGTAGGCTGGTGAACAAGCCTTTTTTTTCAGGAGAAATAAGGAAACGTGAGCTCATTCAATGCAACCTCATTCTCTCTGGAGATGTTAACTGTGGTAACGTCTGACTTTAAAAATGATATTGAAGATGGGTTTGCACATTCCTTGCTCAAATAAAGCAGGTTTTTTTCCAAATGTGTTGAATAAATTCTTCATCATTTGAAATACATGATGACTGTAACCTTGATTCAGTTTTAAAAGACTGAACTGCTTACTGGTATTCCATAATTAAATCCAAATCAAACCTAATTAGAATTTGGTGCTCAGTTTGCAGCTTCATTATTGAAAGGGAGTTTAAACAAATCAAATTTGAATCAAAACTGTAACTTCATACCAGACAGCAGAATGTGTGAAGAAATGTATTACAGGAAGAAAGGGTTGAAAAGTAGCTGAGCTTCTTGGAGGACTATGGAAAAGCGTCTATGACAGATGGTGGCCACAGTTGGCTATCTCCACCATAGCAGGAGGGAAAGACAGGGCCATCTGCTTAACCTGTGCTGCAGAAATTGAAGCCACTTGTCTCATCATAAATGAGTCAAGAAGTCTTACTACCTCTCCTACAGGAACTGGAAAGACACATCCTGTACCCCCAGACAGCTGCCTACAGCCGATCGAATCATTCAATGCATGGTTTCAAACAGCCAGATGCATCCAAATCTTGATCACTTTCGCTCATGCTATAGGTGGAGGTGTCAAAAGCTAGGGACAGACTAAAGATTTTCAACAGGTACACATCTGTAAGTCTGAACAAGAACATAAGTTCCTAAGTCCCTCAGTTTCTGTTCATTACCCTGTCTGCAGATACTGAGTTTTAACCCTCAAATCCCCTTTTCAGCTGTTCCCTTGATTATTTTGATTCCTATGGTGTTTAAACGTTAACATGTTTAGTTGCTTCTGACTAAACATCCTCTCCTACATCATCTGGATAACTTATACTCATATATCACAAATCTAAAAAGATTTCTCAGCTGGTACAAATAAAGCATGTATTTTAATTTCACTCTGAGTGACTTTTTTTCTAGCTCTCCATACATTAATTAAAGGAAAAAAAATTCACTAAACCAGTTTCTAAAATCAGCTCCTACCTTGACTGATAGAGGTATCATCAAAATAATGGAATCAGACTTGGAGTTAGAAAAGTCCCAGTTTAGTATAGTTCTAGGATGAGTCTTCCTTTACCATTCTGACCATACTGTAAAGGTGACTTTACCCTAAAAGTCTACAGAATGCTGACATTACTTCTTAGCAGTCCCCTTAAAATCCCACAAGGAATGGAAGGAACTTCCCTTACATGGTAAATGCCAGCAACAGAAGATCAATTTCCTTTCAGCTTTTTAAAGAGTCTTGGACATCCTTCACTGTCTAAACACTTACTCTTTCCACAGTATCCACTATATCTTAGTAGACCACTACTTCTTGCTTTAGTGAGGAGAGAGAATACCAGGTTCCTGCGACCCATAAAATAACATTTGCTATGAAAAATCACAAAAAGCCAACTACATGAGCTCCTGAAATGTTTTAATTTTACTTTTTCTAGTTGTTGACCTATTTTTATGGCTCAAATTTTTTAGTGCTTTTGTGTTTCCCAGTTTGGATCCTGAAAATAATTATTTGGACTGACGAGTGCTAAGTTTTCAAATGGGAAATTTTCTGTATATTTATTATACCATATACAAATATTTTAGATACATGCATGTTTATATAAATAATTAACAAAAAAGATGCTTTGTAACTGAATTATTTTTCCTCAAAAAAATCAACTTTTGTTACATTAATTACAGGGTGTCTTTTTTCTCTATATATATAACCTCTAGGTTGAACTGATGTGCCTTATTAAATAACATTTTTTAAACAATTTCTATTTGCTAATATAATGAAATACACCCATAACTTAACGACTTCTGGTAGGCAGACTATGCAAACTATATTACAATTTCCCTGCATCTACAACTTACAAGGCTATTGACTATTTTTATTCTACTTCAGATAACAATGTGTTCATACAATAAACCAGCTGGTATTAAACATTATAAATTTCAACATCAAAAATGATTTTCTTTGACTAACCTCAAAGCTTTTAGATAAATGGTTGGTCAAATTATGAGAGAAATTTTAATTTCTTTAAAAGTATCTATTGAGAAGTGGTATTTGTCTCATCAACCCAAATGTATACTCAAAAACTGAAATAAGTGAGAAAAGGTATGCAGGTCATAAACTGTCTGTGAGGGAGACATTTCTCCATTCCCTGGTTAGTGTCTGGGCTGTCAGAGGAATTTACTCTCTTGTTTTGAGAAATATGTAAGATATGCCAAGTCACTTTGACAGATAATATCACTGAAATAAGAAGAATGTAAAAAAAAGAAAGAAAGAAAAAGAAAGAAAGAAAGAAAGAAAGAAAGAAAGAAAGAAAGAAAGAGAGAGAGAGAGAGAGAGAGAGAGGAAGGAAGGAAGGAAGGAAGGAAGGAAGGAAGGAAGGAAGGAAGGAAGGAAGGAAGGAAGGAAGAAAGGAAGGAAGGAAGAGAAGCCAAGAAAGATTGGGGAGAGAAAAGATGGGGAGTCCACAAACAGAAAATAAAATGGATAAAGGAATGAGAGATAAAGAGGATGTTGGGGAAGAGACTTTGCTTAAAGGGATACAACAGAGCAGAGAGATGTGGTCTAATTATCATGTTCCTCATTGATCACAGTGATGTGTGACTATTGCAAACACAGAAAAAGAATTTCAACCAGATATGGATGTTTTATAAATTCAAATTCAGCAAATGTTCCTTATCCTATTTGTATTTGCAAACCTAATTGTAAACTAGAATTTACAGTGCTTGCAGTAAACCATACAGCTGTCATGCTCTATGTAACTTTTCATCAAGAAACAATACGACTGACTCAGGAGAAAAGGTAGACTTCTTGCCTGGAGGTTTTAAAGAATAAGGTAAGAAGCCATCTTTCCAATGACTCAACATCTAGGGCATCACTATGGCCCTATGATTCCATGATTCTGAACCTTCCCAATATGCCACAGGACTATTTTATATATACATGTGTTTATGTATATTATTATATGTGTGTGGGGGTATACTTCCATTAAGTCCAAGAATGGAGCTGCTATTGTTTTTATTCAGCAGGAAGTTTGTTATCTGATTCATTTATAGAATTGTATATAAATTGATATAAATTGTATATAAATTGATTCATTTATAGAATTAAGCTTGTCTTCTTCAAACGTTTGAACATTATACCCAATTTGGCATTTCTGAGCCATTCTATGTTAATAGTCATCTGGAAAATGGTCATATATTTAATATAGCTTGAAGCATAAATGTCAAAGCAAAATTTCATGTTTTATCAGCCAAAAGGAGTATATGGACCCCAACCTGGCTGATGACTACAGCTGTCCTCTTGCTTGATCACAATGCTTTACGGGTTACCTTACGGTTGAGAGAAGTCAGCGATTTTCCTACATCACACAAGAATAGACTAATGACTAATTTCTTGCCAGAAGAGCTTCCCACCACAGAACCACAGAGGCGATCCCAATTTAAAGGTAAAAATAACATCCAAACTCTCGTCTTTAGTTCCTGGCATCTTTGGAACTGGATTGGTCTTTATTTGAAGTCTGTGGATAATTTTAGGAGTCTGAAAATGTACTGACCCTATGCTATGTCTTCTGGCTCAACCATTTCCCCTCTAAACATTAATGCATAGTGCCCAAGAGAAGAACCATAAAGATACATCAATGCATAACTTCTTGATTTAACACCCACCCTTTGTTGATGTCTACGTTGAGAACAATTACACTGAACATCATTGTGTTTCGTCAACCCTGGAGAGAGTCTGAACAGGTCTCACTGTATTTATCATTATCTATTCCTAAACTGCCAGTGGCACTCACTGGGGCAGAGGAAAACTTAGGCAGGAATCTGTGCAAACACTCTGAACCCAGAGCTAAATACTATGTGATGTATAATACCTGGTGTGGGTTTGCGTATCACTTTCCAAGATAACAGTTTAAGTTTTGGTACCAACAGCAAGTAGAATTAATGATTTTAGAAATGTGAGAAGTGAAATGTCTATCACAATACTTTGTCAATGTAGAAAAACCAGCAATTGTTATAAAACTCATGGATGCTGTCTCTTTTTGTACTGTTTGCTTAATGAAGACAATAAGGCTCTACTAAATAAGTGTTTGACTTTCTATGGATTGTACTTATTAATACCACAGGAGGCATAAAAGCTCAGAGAATCTAACTATGCATATTCCACCTTTAGCTACTTTTATGATTCTCAAATCACACAAAAATACTTTCTTACATAAAGAGATCTGGCTCACAAGTGCAAAACATCTGTTTGATAGTGACAAGTGATAAACCTTGTAAAGTTATGAAAATTATTACTACAACAACAGTAACAAAAATAAATTCTCTCAGACAGTATTAGATAATTAGGTACTATAAACATGAAGGAAAACCACTAGACCAATGTAAACAAACATGACAACTTAACATAAAGAAAGTTTGTTTCTGATGGAAAAATCTATTTCTATAGATACATTGCTATTAAACATAATGATGTTAATTATTATTTCAAAATCATAAAGAGTCAAGGATCATTATTACATAAAACACAAAAACCCACTTGAGACTGTATGTATGAATTCCAACAGTGACACAAAGGGTTAAAGCTTTCAGTCATTAACTCAAAGCACTGTCATCACATACCTCTGTTCTCGGTAGTTTCTGTTCATAGACAAAAGAAAAGAAAAAAAAAGCATTAGTTTCCTACAGAAGCACATGAGCAGGGCATTAGATACAAAACCCCCAGCATTCACTGAATTATCCTCACCAAGAATTTCCTGAACCATCTTCCCTAGAGGAATTTGAACCATAAGATTAAAATGAGGAACATACACAGAATTTCACTTTATCTCAAGGAGAGATGACACCAAAGTGACAATATTGTCAGAGAGTCACCCATTTTAATTTATTGTGTATTGATCATAAAGATTTACTTGCTTTTATTTTATGTATATTTGTGCTTTGCCTGTATGTATGCATCTATACTATGTGTATGCCTAGTGCTCTTGAAGGCCATTAGGTAATCCTCCAGAACTGGAGGTACAGATGGTTATGTATCTGCTTGGAACTAAACCTGGATCTTTTGCAAGAGCAGCAAGCACTCTACCACTGAGCCATGTCTCCAGCCCAATTCCCCCCTTTTAAAAGCACAAGTTAGGTTGAAATAATTAAAGAGTAACTGTTTTCTCAATATCTGTTTCATTGTACCAAATACTTAATAATGATCTAGAGCCAATCTTACTGTTTTAAAATTTTTATTTACCTATTTTTACTTTATAAGTATGGGTGTTTTGCCTGCATGTATGACTGTGAATTATGTATAAGCAGTGCTCATGGAAGCCAGGAGAGAACATCTGAACCCCATAACTGACACTGAAAATGGGCCCTCTGGAAGATGAGCTAATAGTCTTAGCCACTAAGCCAGCTCTCCATCCTTGCCAATTCTGTTTTAAATATAGGCTTTAAATGTGATATATTTCTACATCTATATCTGAATATAATATAGATTATATAGATAGATGTTAGATTGACAGATATAGATGAATGAATGCTAATTTAAATAACAAAAACAATCCAATTATTTACACAAATTACATTTTATAGAAACAAGTCCTACCTTTCTCCTATTGAAATATAAACATCCAACTATAGCAACTGTAGTTCACTCTAAGCAGCTCAAGTAGGAGAACATATAAGCACTGAAGAGCGCTATATTCATCATGTATGGTCAATAAAAATGCATTGAAATAAAGGTGGTCCTAGGTTGGTATTAATAATGTCTTTCTCAAGCTTCATACTAGATGTATTTGCTCACTGTTCAATTTAAAGTTTTGATTTGACCATGACTTTCACAATAAACTAACCTTAAACAAAAATTCGTTCAGAAGCATGTAATAATGTACTAGCTGTAATTTTTTTCAAAAGTCAGTGGCTTTCTATTTTGATGTAATTGAATGTTAATATTTTGAAGGCATATTAGAAAGTCAAGTGACTGAGTCATTTGGTGTTCCACCCATGACAATCAAGCATAACACAGCACCTTCACCTGCCAGTCCACTCTGTTATGTAAGGCTAACAAGAAGCATAAAAGATAAGAGTGACAATTTGATCTTTTTTCCAGTCTACTAGCTATCAGGCATGAGACACATCAGCCTGGCATCTTTCTATGAAGTGTGTTTTACTTTTTAATCTCATTCAGGGACCCCAGTCACACAGCTCTGAGTACCCTTTGCTTCCTGTCCCGACTCTAAGGCTTAGAGAAAAGGTAGGATGTTTTATTGAAGGAATCAACATGAAAATGGCTTTGTCAGACCACAGTTTTTTAACTTCAAACAGAATTTTAAAACTTATTTTCATAGTTTAATTCCTTCACTAAAATGTCTACATTCTCACTGTGTTTGCAAGCATACTCTGAGCTAGGTATAGTAGTGCACGGCTTTATCCCAATGTGTGGGAGGCAAAAGCAGGTGGGTCTCTGAGTTCGGCGTCAGTCTGGCCTATAAAGTGAGTTCGAAGCTAGTCAGGACTACAAAGTAAGACTCTGAAAACAAAACAAACAAAAACCCAAATAAACATGTTCTGAATAATTTTTAAAAACTCTAAAACTTTTATTTTAGGTTAAATTATTTCGAATATTTTATAAATAGTTATTAGGGATACTAATATATAGGAATACTAATAAAAATGTAGGAATACTACAATATGAACAAGATCTTTTTTCTTAATTTTAAAAATTAAGAAATTTAAAAATAAACTTCTTAATAAATTTTATAATAAAATTTATAAAAATAAATGTATAAATTTAAAAATGCTAAAAAGAAAAAAATATCACTTCCCTGAAGAAAATAGGTAATTTCTATAGACAAAGATAATTTCATTGGCAATAGGCATATTTTGGTTTCAAGTTTTCTGAACAATACTATTTTCCAGGATTACATAAATGAAATATCCATATATATCAGTAAGTGGTAGAAACTCACACACTCTAGAACAATTTTTATGTAACCAAGTAAAATTATTGAGCCATAATACAATGTTAGTGCTTGTGAAAGGCATTAGCATGTGTGTCCCACGTCAGAGAAGCTGAAAAAGAATATCTCAAGACAAAGCTCATTCGCTTGTGGTGTGAAGAAAGGCTTTCCTTTCCGACATCCAAGTTTATAGGTGCCTAAATCACACTTCACAGATGGAAGTGTACAAGATGCTCAAATGCATTCGGAATCTCTTACAACCAGTCAAGGGCTAGGTACCAGTGTAATCAGAGCAGAGCCTAGTCTGACGTGGTGAGCTCCTTCGCCAGGCTAGCTCATGGACAAGAACCGTGCTACTTCATCATGCCGTTTGGTTTTGTTAATATAGCCATCCATAAACAGCTTCCTACATTTAAATGATGGCCACATACAAGCCATAAAATAATTGCTCTCCCTTTCAGCAAAATCCTTGCAGGGTTTTAATTTTATAATCGGTACATAAACATTTACAGGTGTCTCCCGGTTTCAGACCACAGTAGATGACAGTCACACTGCTTCCTGTGAGGTAGTTCACTACTGAGAATGTTTGACAAATAAAGACCCAAAGAACAAGAATGATTTTATTAAAAAAAAATACAGAGTAAATGCTAAGTTTAAAATGAATATGTGTGTGTGTGTGTGTGTGTGTGTGTGTGTGTGTGTGTGTGTATGCACATGCACGCGCATATATGCATGGGAGGGCGGGAACCTTCAAAGGCTAGAAGACATTGTCAAATCCCCTAAAGTTGGAGATACAAGTGGTTTTGAGTCACCTGATGTAGATACTGGGAACTGAACTCTGTAAGCACAGTATGTATTTTTAACTGCTGAGCCATCTCTATGGCCCCAAATCTAAGCTGTTTTAATCCCCAATTTAGTGATCTGAATTTGATCCAGGAGGGACGATGCTTTCAATGAGGTTAACCTTTAGATGCTGGGTCTTCCATGTGGAAGACCCCAGGGCTAGGGCACTGACTGGGACATTACTAGAGACAGCAAAATAAAATTTTAAGTTGGAATGTTGAAGAGAACCATTATAGCTTGGATCTGAATATCCACAAAAGCTTGTGTGTTAAATGCATGGTCCTCCTGCAGCATTCCTTAAAATCAGGGTAGTTAGAAGCTAATCAGATTATGGAAGTTGTGACATCATCAATGGATTGATCCACTTCTGGATTCTTAGCTCAGTTTTGTGGACAAAGGGATTACACAGTGGTGAGCTCTTTCTTTGGTAGGCAGCTTTCCTTCACTACATGTTCTCTACCATGGTCTTCCAACTTGGCTCAAAGCAATGTGGTCACATGACTGTGTAGGAGCCTCTCAAACCAACCACAGTGAACTTCTACTTTCTTAAGCTATTTCTTCAGGTATTTCCCCAGTAATGGAAACCTAAGTCAAGAATTAAATGTTTTACACTACATTTAAACCATAACATTAAATAGTTACTAGAATACTAAGAAAAATTTACACGTTAAGTCTTCAAAAGGGAAATTTTAAATAGTGAATATAGAAATGTTTGAGAACATTTACTTAGCAAATGTCTAAGGCTACTAAATATTCAAATGTAGTATGACTCTCAACTTTTAAAAATTGAACTTGTCAAGTTAAAATTACTTTTGTCTCTTCTACAGTATTTAATGTAAGTTGCATTGATTGTACACTTTCTAATTGTGTTTGTATTTTGAAATCTGGCATGTCAGTTATGAGGTCTACCAACCAGCTTTTGTTTTAGTGCCTGGAGTAAAATTAAAAGAAAAAATTTTATGCTGAGGTTTGACGCTTAAGAAGGAAACTGAATTTTAAAAGCGAATCTCACAAGAGTGTGTTCTTCACAGGAAGAAACTCGTCTATACTAATGGCTATTAATGACACAAGGTCTTTGTCATTGATGTGATGTACGGATACAGTAAGCATTCACTCACAAGTGTCACTGCAAGGATCTCAAACAGCAGTCAGTACTTTCAGAATAGAAAAAGAGGTGTGCGAAATCTAAAACGTGATAATGTATTGTGTTACTTCTAACCACACCAAGGATGGGTAATCACTGACTCTTGGACCAGCCTGATTTTCAGTGCAAATACAAAGGTAATGATATACAACCTTCCAGCTAACATTTACTCAAAATATTTTATAATTACAGTTTAAACACTTCTAAATCTCTATCTTCCTTTCTTTTCTTCCTTTCTCTCTCTGTCTACCTCTCTGTCTCTCTCTGTCTCTCTCTGTCTCTCTCTCTCTCTCTCTCTCTCTCTCTCTCTCTCTCTCTCTCTCTCCCTGTATGTGTCTGTGTGTGCACATTTGAGTACAGATACATAAGAAGTCTAGCAATAGTGTCAGATCTCCTGGAAGTGGAGGTATATGTGTTTATGAGCCATCATACACTGGCACTATGAACTAAAACTGAGCCCTCTCCAAGAGCACTAAGCACTTTTACATGCTGAGCTGCTTCTCCAGCTCTTAATAAAAAATTTAAGGTACATTTTGATAGTAATAATACTGAAATATTTGACTTACTTATAACCCCAGGCAGTTATTCCTAATATGAGGGCCAGCACTAAAATGGTGCCAGCAATTATTCCTATTATGATATTAGTGCCAGCAACACCTAGAAGGGAAGACAAGAAGGAAAATCAGTGATATGATATTCTTGCAGTAATTTTTTTCTCTAGGTCTGTAATCATCATGGTGACAATATTATCTGTTTTGTACAAAAGGCTTTGGCTTTTTTACACTAAGATTTAGCATGTCTGTCTACCCTTCCTGTTCTTGGATTTAGACAAGGATCAATAAATTTGAATGACTATTTCTAAATAATGTCTTTTGAAAAGCTACAGAGGCCTGCTCTACTAGAAGCACCCCCAACCTGTAATACACTGTCCACCTCCCACTAACACGCCTTAGAGCCCACCCAACTGTCCCCAACAGCACCCCACACCTTTGGCTCCATATACCCGGACACAACTCTGGCAGAAGACTCCAGCTCTACTGGAGCCCATGCCAGCACCTGGAACCTCAGAGTCCATGCTCATTCCCGGAACCCCAGAATCCCAGAAGCAACACCAGCACTCAAAACCTCAGAAGTCATGAAAGCTGCCAAAATCCTGTGGAGACAGCCTACTGCACATGAGAACTTGCTGCTAAGCAGATCCACAGGTCACTCAGGCCAGAAGACCAGAGAAGAAACAGAAACCAAGGGGGAAAATATCCAACAAAGATAAACTCAGAAATCAGAATGCCAAACTATAATTATCCCAAAACCCAGATGCGTAGAGGCCAGTGTAAGAACATAATTAATAATAACTTTCCTTTAAGAACTTCAAGAAAGTTCACCTAACTGGGCTGCCTTGTCTATTCTCTGTGAGATACAAGGCTTGATGTGTCAGAATGGGGGGACACTCAAGAGGGGCCTCCACTCTCAGAGAAGAAGGGGGTATGGGAGGAGGGACTAGTGAGAGGGTACTTGGATGGGGGATAGGCAGCGATCAGGATGTAAAGTGAATAAAATAAATTTTTTAAAAAGTCCAGCAAGACACAAACTATAAGAGGAAATGAATCCTTAAAAGAAAGCCAAGAAAAAGCAATCAGGTGAAGCAAATGAATAAAACTGTTTAGGGTCAGAATATGGAAATAGAAACAATAAAGAAAACACAAACTGAGGGAATCCTGGAGATGGAAAACAGGAACTACCGACACAAGCATCACCAACAGAATAAAAGAGATTGAAGAGAGAATCTGAGGTGTAGAAGATACAATGGAAGAAATCAATATATCAGTCAAAAAATATTAAATCTAAAAAGTTCCTGAAACAAAATATCCAGGAAATCTGGAACACTATTAAAAGAGCAAAACCTAAGAAAAATAGGAATATAAGAATGCCATCTCAAAAATCAGAAAATATTTTTAACAAAATCATATAAGGAAATTGTCATAACCCTAAGAAGCACATGCCTATAATGGTATAAGAACCTTACAGAACACCAAATAATTTAGACCAGAAAAGAAAATGCTCCACTTCCACATAATAATCAAAACACTAAACATACAGAACAAAGAAACATGTTAAAAGCTGCAATGGGGAAAAGCCAAGTAACATATAAAGACAGATCTATTAGAATTACACCAGACTTCTTGATGGAGATTCTAAAAGCCAGAAGGTCCTAAAAGATGTCTTGCAGACTCTAAGAGATCATGGATGACAGTCCAGACTTCTATACCTAGGAAAATTTTCAACCACCATAGATGGAGAAAACAAGATAGCTCACGACAAAGACAAATTTAAACACTATCTACCCACAAATCTAGCTCTACAGAAAGCATTTAAAAATATCAACACAAGGAGATAAACTATACCCATGAAAACACAGTCAATAAATAATCTCATTCTAGCAAAATCTGAAGAAGGGAAACACACACACACACACATATGCACACACACACACTACTACCACCACCAAAACAGTAGAAATGTACAATCATTTGTCATTAATGTCTCTCAATGTCAATGAACTGAATTCCCCAATAAAAAGACACAGGCTAACAAAATGAATGTGAAAGCAGGCTCCATCGTTGCACTGCACACAAGAAACACCTCCACCAGCTACTGTCTACAAAAACCACTGAGGAGTCTTTAGGACAAAGCAGGGAAATAATCCAGCACAAACATTTCTTCCAAGGACAATTTCACAAAGAGAACTACCACACAACCAATCCTGTCAGCCTGAGGCATGGCCAGCAGAGCTCTACCCATGTTCCTGCATAGTCCTGCTGGCATCAGTATCAACCAGTCAACACTAGGGCAATACGGCATAGCCAGAGCCCAGGTAACTTACTACAACAAGCCCTGGATATCCCATCACAGCCGAAGTGTAAGAAAAGAGTTTTAGTCCATTATTATAGAGATAATAGAAGCCTTTAAAGAGGAAATTAACAAATCCCTTAAAGAAACACACACACACACACACACACACTACTGCCAATATCAAATGCAAATAGATCCATACTTATCACCCTGCACAAAACTCTAGTCCAAGTGGATCAAGGACCTCAACATAAAACTGGATAAACTGGAACTGACAGAAGAGAGAGTGGGGAATAACCTTGAATGCCTTCACACAGGAGACAGCTTCCTGAACAGAATGCCAATAGGGCAGGCACTAAAATTGACAATTAATAAAAGGGACCTGGCAAAACTAAAAAACATCTGTAAGACAAAGTACACTGTCAATAGGACAAAAGAACAGCCTACTAAATGGGCAAATATTTTTACCAACTCTACATCTGACAAACCACTAATTTCCAAAATACTCAAGAAACTAGACAAACCAAATAAGTAAATTAAAGAATGGTTTACTGATCTAAACAGAGAATTCTTTACAGAGGAATCTCAAATGGCTGAGAAGCACCTAAAAATGTTCAACACCTTAGCCATTGGGAAATACAAATCAAAATTATTTTGAAACTTTATCTTACATCTGACAGGAAGGCTAAGATCAATAATACAATTGACAGCTCATGCTGGCAAGAATGTGGAGCAAGGGGAACACTCCTTCATTGCTGGTAGGAGTGCGAACTTGCACAACCACATGAGAAATCAATATGGCAGTTTCTTAGAAAACTGAGAATCAATCTACTTCAAGACATCATTCCTGGGCATATACCCAAAGGATGCTACATCCTTACAAGGACACTAGTTCAACTATGTTCATATTAGCTTAGTTCACAATAGCCAGAAACTGGAATCCACCTAGATGTCCCTCAACCAAAGTATGGATAAAGAAAATCTGGTACTGTTACACAGTAGAATATTACTCAGCAGTTTAAAAAAAAATCATGAAAATTTCAGGCAAATGGGTGGAACTAGAAAAGATCACTGTGAGCGAGGTAGCCCAGATCCAGAAAGACAAATACAATATGTACTCACTTATAACTGGATATGAGCTATAAAGGAAAGGATAACCATACTACAATCCATAGATTCAGAGAGACTAAGTAAGAAAGAAGGCTCAAGGGGGGAGGGCTGAATGACCCTGGGAAGGAGAAATAGAGTAGGTATAGGAGATGTAATGGGGACAGGTGGGAACTAGAACAGGATGGATCAGGTTAGGGGAAGATGGAGGGACAGAGTTCTGCGAGAGACAACTAGAGCTGCAGGGAACTTTGAGGGTCAGGTAAAAACCTAGAGCAATATAAACTTCCAGGAATCTATGAGGGTGACCCTAACTAAGATACCTAGTAATGGGGGATAACAGAGCCAACTGGCCATCTCCTGTAGCCAGGAAAGGCTCCCAGTGGAGATACTAAGACACCAACCCAGCCACAAAACCTTCAACTTAAAGAGGCTCAGAAATTACGGGAATGGCCAACCATTGACTGGTCCAGCTTGAGATTCATGCTACAAGAGGAACCCCACTCCGGACACTGTCTAGAGAGTCGGAACCTAGAGGATGAATAGCCCAGAAACCTAGGATAGAATCAAACATGACTGGCAAAAAAGTCAGTGAAATGGTGCCTAATAATATGCTACTATATCCATAGATGGGGGCCTAGTCCAATTATCATCAGACAGGCTTCACCCAGGAACTGATAGACACAGTCATGAAATAATATATGAGGGAATAAAATAATTCTTTAAAAAAGAAGAAAAGTCACTGTGCTCTAGGTACTATAAACACTTGCATTCATGTTGACTTTGGGAGCAACTGGCACATGACCATTTACCACTGCAGTCTGAGGACATCAAGAATGAGATGATGTAGTTGTTTCAGGAAAGCTTCTCAAAGTTTACATTAGAGAAATGAGACTCTATAATGAATATTTTTTTAAAAAAAATTTTTAAATCAAATTTTTAAAAAACTTATTCAGGTTAAAAATATATAATTATCCGTTTAAATTGAATATTTTATGTGCACGAGTGTGAGTGTTTTGCCTGGTGTTAGATAAGGTGAGAAGAGAGAGTCAGATCTCCTGAAAGCAAGAGTTAATGGATAGTCATAATCTATCATGTGGGTCCTGGGAAGTGAACCTGGGTCCTTGGCAAGAGCAACAGGTGTTCTTAACCTCTGAGACACCATGTTATTCTCTTATATTTATAAGAAATGTTAGAAGATAAAACCACAAGGGAAAAAGGCATGGAAGAGGATGTGCTGGGAACAAGGGGTTGCTGGCAGTGAAAGTAGGGTAAGAAAGGGCAGGAAGGACAATCATGACCAGAATATATTGTTTACATGTGTGAAACTGTCAAAAGAGTAAATTTAAAATGCTAGGGTCTGTTCATAGCCTTAGGTAATTATAATGCTTGACATTTTTTGAAGGAAGACAGAATAAGACAAAGTCATTAATCTAAATCATACTCAGTATGACAAACCTTTAAAATGTAATCAATATGATTGGTTTCACGAGGTAGACCACTCTCATTATGTAGATACCATTCATTATTGAGTGATGATAATAAAAAAATCTCAAATACAAGTGTCCATTGAGAAAGTCGCTCTTCTATTGTATATAAATATGAGACAGTACAGTTGATACATACCATTGCCAGACAGGGTGATGCCAGTCTTAGCATCATCATTGTGAGGAAAGTGGGTGCTGCAGTCAGCACCTGTCCAGTGCCTGTTGCACACACACTTGAGTTCATTGCTGCAAACCTGAAATCCAAAGGAGAAGAGCAGAAATGTCAGTGAAAGTTTCTTCCATGCCTTTTTTCCTTGAGGATTTATCTTGTAACATTTCTTTTAAATGTAAGAGAACAGCATGGTGTCTCAGAGATAAAGAACACCTGTGGCTCTTGCGAGACCCAGGTTCAGTTCAGACTACGGATAAGCACATATATGCTGACTCCTAACTAGTAGCATAGGACTTGAAACTGAGACAGGATTTGTGCTTCAAATTCCAAACCAACATCTTCTGCCTTAATTGGATAATACAACCAGTTCATTCAAAGATTCTGTAATACAGGCAAAAACGACATCATAGAACATGCTAACAGAAAAGAAATCAAAACAACCACTGGGAAGGAATGAGAAAGCTGGATATATTCTCAGAGGGTTCACTCATGGAGGGCAAGTGTTTGACCCATAACTTAAATAAGGCCTGTGCTACCCAATACACAATTCTGAGAGAACAGAATTAAAATGTCTAAAATCTGCTTTCTGATCATCCATGAACAGCACTTCCCCTGATGATGTCGTTGTTTCTGGGATTTAAACTCAGCTGTCATCTCTGGTATGGCTACCACAAGTATTTACGGTCAGTACTGATCCATCTGTACAAAGATGACCTAAGTAGTTAAATGCTGTTTATCTATATGTTTAAATAAATAACGAGTGGCTCACTCTTACTTCTTCACTCTCCATTAAAAAAAAATTCTCTGTAGTTTGCTAAAATCCATCTCCTAAATCACACACAGGAAACCTATCATTATACTGTATGGCATCCTATTAGCATAAGAAAAGAAGGAAGAAGAATTTGAATAGGAAAATTACTAGTTTTCTTATTCTCAGACTTTCCTGATTATACAACAAAAATATTCAAGTAGCTTTGATCAAGTCAGTGTTCACATATCAGCCAGAAACATGAATAATCACATTGTCTACAATTAAGGAACCGTTACAGTTTTCTCAGGCGGGAGGGAGGGCAAGGTTTTGACACTTACTCCATTTCCTGAGCACACGGTGCCTGCTTTACTGCTTGAGCAAGTGCTGAAGTTGAAGGAAGCCACAGGAAGACACCTGTGTTCCAAGCACATCATCTGAGGACCACAGGGTGTTCCGTCTTCCACATAGCCAAGATCCACGTCTTCTTCAAGCTTAACATGCCCCCCACTACAAACAAATTGTGTGCAGAAGGAAAATGGGACTCCGTTAATTCATACTCCTCTGAGTTTAAAACTAAAAATAGGCAATATCCCTTCTCTGGACTTCTGTTTATTATTTGATAAAAACCAGTAGCCAAAGTATGTTTCTTTTGTTTCACTGAGATAGGATTTCAAGTAGCCCAGACTAGCATCAAATTCTTTTCTTTTCTTTTTTTTTATTGGATATTTTATTTATTTGCATTTCAGATGTGATTCCCTTCCCCCCTTTGCCCCCCAGAAATCCCCTATGCCATCCCCTCTCCTGCTACTTCTATGAGGGTGTGCCCCATCCCTCTACCCATTCCCCATCCCTGCCCTCGAATTCCCCCACACTGAAGAAAGCTTGCTTGAACTTTTGTTGCTCTGGCTTCCATCTCCCATGTGCCAGTACCAAAGGCATACATCACCACACCCACAAGTATCTTTAAGTGTAGGAAGCAATAGAAAATTTTATCTAATTCTTCTAAGAGATATTTATAATATTTAGAATTTTAACGAGATTATTACAATAAGGCCAGAATATAACTAGTCTCATTATTTTTCCTTGGAAACTATGTGCAAATCCAACTGGTTTCACTAAGTAGGCTTCAGGATTTCAAATGTATCTCAAATAAGGATCCGAATTGGATGTGATTTATACTGCTCTCATGCATTGTAATTTACAAATAATTTTTCCAGTGTCTTCTGATTCCCTCGACACCAGGTGATAAACCTGAAGGCACTCTAGTTCTTGAACTTCTTCTGTGGAAACATGAAGGCTCTCTTCTCTGTCCTATAGTGCTTCCATAATGAGGTTCACATCTGTCTCTGACGTCATTCATGGACAATTTCTTCCTTACTCTTCCTCTGTTCTTTTTTATTTCTTCTCTAATTGTGGAGTTCTTTCTCATTGTTCAGTTTCTTTACTTCCAGTCCTACTTCCAGGGACAATTTCAACCACTAAGGTTCACTTCAACAGAATCTTTTTCTCCCATAGTCTGATTAATTAAAGTAGAACATTATTTTTTCACTTAGTGATAAAAAGTTTCTACAGGTTTTCTGTTCACTCTGATTTTCCACGTTAGTGATATTCTTTGCATGCTCGTCAGTAATGACTGGAAAGATGACGGGAACTTCCATGGTACTCTCGGTGAGCATTCCCTGAAGCTGAACCACTTCCATATGACCCTTGTATCAACTCTTCAATTTAGGAATGTTCCTGTTTGATTCTCTGTGGAGACAAGGCCTGGATCTCCAATGCAAGTGTAGGTCAGCCCCTTTGTGGCTGAGTCATCAAAGGAATGTATGTATTAGGCTCCTTTTTGTTTTTCAAACTTCCAGATAACTCCTTTATGTAAAAACCTGCTGTGAAACTCATCTAATCCCTCCTTGAACAGTAGACAGTGCTGCCAATTTCTGAGGCTTCCAAGATGTTACAAGGTGTTTCAGTGTTCCATCTTACTGACCTATAAATTCAACTTTCTCAAAGGCTCTCCTAAGTGTGAGCCCCAGAGTCAGTTGTACACATTCTAGATATGAATAGTTCCCACCTCCATTTCATGTTTGAGTTTTCCTGCAGATATATAACTCCCAAAGAAAATTTAATTTCATGGAACTTCAGAAAGAAGCAAAATGAAATGCAGACTTATGGTGACTGATCATATCCAGAAGTCTCCACTAAGAAGAAAATGTAAGCCAAACCCATCAGGATTTTACTGAGCAACTAAACATAATTCCAGCAACCATATAACAATTCCCATGTATCGTTCTTATCTACTTTCATTTTTCTATTATGATTTATATGATCACATTTATGAACCACACTTCAGTTCAGACTATGAACATGCACATACACTGGAAACAGTAGCAGGTCTAGCTGTATCCCTGGGAAGAAGAGACTAATGAACCACAGGATGGTTGGATGATTACCTGCAGTTTAATGTTCTTCCTTGCTGCACAACTAAGGTGGACGTGATTTCACCGTCAAGCTCTCCGAGCCTTGGGATATTGCCAATATTTGTGCACAGAAGGTAACCACAAAGCACATCCCTGTGGTAAAAGAGTACCAGTTACTGACTTGATCTCTTGAAGTAGTATCTTCTCTCTTGTATTTATTACCCACCAGCAGCATTACTTATGTGTATGCTAAGCAAAATAAAATAAGCCAATATTGGGTTGACTCCGGGTCTCAAATTAATTTCTCTAAAACTCCAACTGGTGATCCAAAATCCTAATAATTCCCTAGATTGTTATCTTCTATTGACTGTCAGTTCAAGTATTTGGTTAAGGAAAATTATCCATCAAATACACCTTTTATCAGAATGTAGTGTATATCACATACTGCTAGATAGGATAAACTTGTTTAGTATTGAGTGAGTGAGTAAACTTGGTCTGAATATTCTTCTGTAATATAGCTACTTCTGCATCCTGCCTTCCAAAAGCAAAGACGAGGTGAACCACTGCTCATGGACATTCCTAGCCATAAAGCCTCACTACCCTTCGAAACAAATCCTATATGTCCAGAAATATATTAATATGTCATATATGCCGTATTAAAATAGTAAAGTTGCCGTATTAAAAACATTGCTTTATATATTTTTTAACAGACATATTTTGGTCATCAATAGTGATGACATATTTAAATCTTATAAACACTATGCTGGGTAGTGATGGTGCACTCTTTAATCTTAGGAGGCAAAGGCAGGTGGATCTCTATGAATTCAAGGCCAGCCTGATCTACAGAGCAAGTTCCAGGATTATACACAGAGAAACTCATAAAACAAGACAAAACAAAATAAACAAATAAACAAAAAACCCACTAATTGATTAACACAGCAACAAAATCACATGTGAAAATACCAGAATTTATATGATGGATAACATAGAGAAATGGGGATCTATAGTTATCACTAATATATAAAAGGTACATTCTCTAAAAGTATTTTAAATATAGAAATATATGCAAATATAAAATTACATTCTAAATATATTTATGCCTTATAAATAAGATATAGAAGAAACATTTAAATCCTTTCTAGTTTCATTTATGAACGCTAACGTTTGTAACTTAAAATCTATAACAAAAGCAGAACATGATGTTTATCCTCACAGGAATGCTACTGTGTAAGAAGACCCAGCATATACATAAGCATGTACAAAATAATGAACTGAGGATATGGGCCATAAGAATACCTCAAGGCCTATGTCTGTGGGAGTTCAGAGAGGAACTGGGAGGGCCCATTAGGAAATAATTTATAGAGCAAGGTTTTTTCAAATGGGCCGTGAAGAATGGATGAATTTCTCACTGGTGTTGGTACAGGATGTAAAGACCGCATCTAAGGAATTAATAGTGCCAACAGACACATTAACATAGGGCAATATACTATAGGTATTAAGAATAGTAAAGCTTTGCTGGGTATAGTAGCCTTGGCTGGCATTTGTGTTCTCTTAGGGTCTGCATGACATCTGTCCAAGATCTTCTTCCTTTTAGAGTCTCTGTTGAAAAGTCTTGTGTAGTTCTGATAGGTCTTCCTTTACATGGTACTTGGCCTTTTTCCTTTACCATACTCTTTATTTGTTCTGTGTATTTAGTGTTTTGATTATTATGTGATGGGTGGCTTTTCTTTTCTGGTCCAATCTATTTGGTGTTTTGTAGGCTTCTTGTCCATTTATGGTCATTTCTTTCTTTAGGTTAGGGAAGTTTTCTTCTATGATTTTGTTGAAGATGTTTTCTCACCTTTGAATTGGGAATCTTCACTCTCTTCTATTCCTATTATTCTTAGTTTTGGTCTTTTTTATTGTGTCCTGAATTTCCTGGATATTTTGGGTTAGGAGGTTTTTGCACTTTGTATGTTCTTTGACTGTTGTGTCAGTATCTTCTATGATGTCATCTACACCTGAGATTCTCTCTTCTATCTCTTGTATTCTGTTGGTGATCTTACATCTGAAACTCCTGATCATCTCTTTCCTAGGCTTTCCATCTCCAGGGTTGCTTCCATTTGTGATTTATTTATTGTTTCTATTTCCATTTTTAGGTCCTGGATTTTTTCAATACCTTCACCTATTTGATTTTATTTTCCTGTATTTCTTTAAGGAATTTGTGCATCTTTAAGGGCTTCTACCTGCTTGCCTGTGTTCACTTAATATTTCTTTAAGGGAGTTATTTATGTCCCCCTTAAAGTCCTCTATCATCTTCATAAGACAGAATTTTAAGTCAGAATCTTGCTTTTCAGGTGTGTTAGGGTATCTAGGGCTTGCTGTGGTGGGAGAACTGGGTTCTGATGGTGCCAAGTAGCATTGGTTTTTATTGCTTCTGCTCTTGCACTTGCCTTTCGGCATGTGGTTATCTCTGGTGTTAACTGGCCTTGCTGTCTCTGACTAGAGTCTGTCCCTCCTTGTAGGCAAGTGGAGTTCTGTAAGCTGTGTTAGAGCAGGCCTTCTGTGAACCTGGTTATGACAGATTTCCTAGGAGTCCAGCTGTCTCTGAGTGTGCAGGGGTGTGTGTATGTGTTTGTGTGGGGGTGGGTGGGTGGGTGTGGGTGTGGGTGTGGGTGTGGGTGTGTGTAATGCCCAATCTTCCTGGGGAAGAGCTGCAGATCTGAAGGAAGATGTGTTGCCTGAAGATCAGTCCTGTGTCCACTGGGCTCCATGGGGGAACCAGTTAGGGCAGGTATTGGGGTGGGGGGTCTCATCTGTGAACCTGGTTATGACAGACTTCCTGGGAGTCAGGATAACAGACTGGATACATAAACAGGACGCAGCATTTTGCTGTATATAGGAAACACATCTCAGTGACAAAGATAGAATAGAACTACCTCAGAGTAAAAGGCTGGAAAAAATTTTCCAAGCAAATGGCCTCAAGAAACAAGCAGAAGTAGCCATTCTAATATCCAATAAAATACACTTTCAATCAAAATTATCAAAAGAGATGGAGAAGAACGCTTCATACTCATTAAAGGAAAAATCCACCAAAATGAACTCTCAATTCTGAACATCTATGCTCCAAATGCAAGGGCAATCATATTTGTAAAAGAAATGTTACTAAAGCTCAAAACACACATTGAACCTCACACAATAATAGTGGGAGACTTCAATATGCCACTCTCACCAATGGACAGATTACAAAAACAGCAATTAAAGAGAGACACACTGAAACTAACAGAAGTTATGAACCAAATGGATTTCACAGATATCTATAGAACATTTCATCCTAAAACAAAAGAATATACCTTCTTCTCAGCACTTCATGGTACCTTCTCCAAAACTGACCATATAATTGGTCACAAAACAACCCTCAACAGATGCAAAAAGACTAAATTAATTCCATGCATTCTATCAGACCACCATGGACCATGTCTGGTCTTCAATAAGAACAAAACCAACAGAAAGCCCACATACTCATGAAAGCTGAACAACTCTCTATTCAATGATAACTTAGGGAAGAAATAAAGAACTCAAGAAGTTAGACTCCAGAAAACCAAATAACCCAATTGAAAAAAAGCCAAACAAATAATTTTCAACCAAGAAATCATAAAATAGCTGAGAAGAATCTAAAGAAATGTTCAACATCCTTAGTCATCAGGAAAATGCAAATCAAAATGACCCTGAGATTCCACCTCACACTAGTCAGAATGGTTAAGTTCAAAAACTCAGGCATCAGCAGATGCTGGCAAGGATGTCAAGAAAAATGAACACTCCTCCATTGTTGGTGGGATTGCAAGCTATTACAACCACCTTGGAAATCAATCTGGCAGTTCCTTAGAAAATTTGAAATACTTCTTCCTGAAGACCCATGTATACTACTCCTGGGCATATACCAAAAAGATGTTCCACTATGTTCACAGCCTTATTTATAATATCCAGAAGGTAGAAACAACCCATGTGTCCCTCAATGGAAGAATGGATACAGAATATGTGGTACATTTACACAATGGAATTACACTACTCAGCTATTAAAAATGAGGGCTTTGCAAATTTGGCAAGCAAATGGATGGAACTAGAAAAATATCATCCTGAGTAAGGTAACCCCGACCTAGAAAAGAACATACATACATACTCACTCATAAGTGAATATTACCCCAAAAGCTCAGAATACACAGGATACAACTCACAGACCATATGAAGTTTAACAAGAAGGAAGGTCAAAGTGTGGATGCTTCAATCCCACTTAAGAGGAATCAAAAATGATCACAGGAGGCAGAGGGAAGGAGTGACCTGGGTGGGAGAGGGTAGGGGGAGTGAAAAAGGGGGCAGGTTCAGATCTGGGGGGAAATAGAAGTCTAGAAGCCAGGAAAATGAAAAGCAATATGCACCCTTCCGGGGCAACCCTGGGGGGGGCACTAGAAAGTCCCAAACACTAGGGATTTGAGAGGCTCTCAGAACCCTTTGGGGAGGACATTAGCTGAAATGCCCAACAACAGGAAGACAGAATCTGTAGAGACCACCTCCAGTAGATACACACGGCCCCGAGTTGAGGGATGGGGCCAACCACCCATCTCAAAAATTTTAACCCAAAATTGTTCTTGTCTAAAGAAAATGCAGGGACAAAATATAGAGCAGAGACTGAAGGAAGGGCCATCAAGAGACCACCCACCTTGGGATCCATCTCATCTTCAGACACCAATCCCCAACACTACTGCTGATGCCAACCAAGATATGCTTGAAGACAGGAGCCTGGTATGGCTGTCCTCTGAGAGGTTCTGACAGCACCTGACTAACACAGATGCATATACTCACAGCCAACCGTTGGACTGAGAATGCTACCCCAATGGAAGACTTCCCCTAATCCTCCCACATTTTTTTTTTTTTTTTTTTTTGGAGATAGGATCTCCCTTCATAGTCCTGGTCTGGAATTCATTATGCAGACCCAAAGATCCATCTCTCTCTACTTTCCATGTGCTAGGGTTAAAGGTGTGTACTCCTGTGCCCAGGCTAGGGTTCTATTTCATTTGTTAATTAAAACCACAGACTTTCAGCAGAAAAACTGAGAGAACATTCTGATAGCAGAATAGCAGACACTAATTCTCTCTCTAGTCCTAGCTGCATGCTCTTGGGCCCAGACACTGATCTTGCCATGGTTTCTCCATCTAGGAAATGACTTTCATAATGCCATGGCAGGCTCACCAATGTGAGACGGTGAACATGCTCAGCACACAGTGTACTTTCATTACAGGATGAATATTCTATTAACCAGCTGTGTAGAGCTATTGAAATTTGAGCAAAGACCTGACACATTCGAAAGGGTTTAGAAGACTTTTCTGGTAACAGGATGCTTGAGAATTCCAGTAGAGAGAGCTCAAGGGATTTTGTAGTCCTCAGAGTTAGAGGGCTTGGCTGTGCTATTGACAAAAATGGAAACAGGAGGATAGTTCACAATAAGTGGCAGGGAGCAAAGGGGAACACAACCATGATCCGTGCTTTGACAACATACAGAGGAAAGATGGAGTCAATTACTCCTACCTACATGGGACAGTGAAACACTGAGACATCTGGCAAAGACAAAAGGTAGTTTAAAAAGGTCAGAGTTAGCTAATTCACTCAGCAGCATTGGATATGTGGCTCCAATCTTCCTCAATCTTGAGGTGCTGAGAGGTACTGTCTAGGTGAGAGACTGTAGCAATTACCAGGAGAACCTTCTGGTTACCCTTGTACAAGGACCCGAAGAACGAGGTCCAGGTCCATGTCGAGAACTAGCATCCTTTCTGATGCTGGAGCACTGGGGAGAACAGACCAGAGAGCATACTTTATTCAGCCCCCTAAACAGGAACATCCAGGCGGAATGTATGTCTGTGAACTGAATGATGAATGACCTCTGGGTTCTGTGAGCACTCACCGTTTGTTGCACTGTGTCCATGTGTCTTTGTCTTTCCCACAGTTGCCCTTCTCAGTCCCTTCAATGTTCAGTTTCTCATAGCAGTACCTGTCAGATGCTGTCACCTCTGAAGCACAAAAAAATTGCACATCAGTGATGGAGATAGTATGGGATGCTGCAGTAAGGAGCCATGCTCACTGTGGTGTTAGCAATGACAAAACCAGAAATCATGCTATCACTTTAAAAAGGCGTGCCATATCACAGACACGGCGTGGGTACATCTTCCGTGGAACCTTATTTGGATCAGGAAAGCAAGCACATGTAGACCTGTGAGGGGAGTTAGAGGGCACACTGAGAGAATATTCCGAGGATCTGGAGCTATGTAGGGGACGATACTAACCCTGAGTACATGTTTTAATCACAGCACCTGATGCCTAAGTTCTCAATCAGAAACATTATTAATAAAAGGGCAATATTATTCTAAAATTATGCGGCATAATTGAATTCAAGAAAGAGCAGCATGATTTTTACCCTGCTTACTAGTTCTTAACTGCTCTAAGAAATACTTTTATTGTGCTTTGCGATGATATTGAGTTCATGCAAAGTCTTTGAAAGGCAAGTGGAACTTTAAGGTATTCCAGCGCCTTTACTGATTTTTGTCTTTTCTGAAGCCAGTGTATCAGAGACACCTGCTAGAACAATATGATTTTCCCACCAGCCACGATAAGCCTATCAATTCAGCAATTGGGAGACAGAGGCAGGAGGATTAGGAGGTTCAAGATCATCTTCTGTTCCACAGGAGATTCAAGGCCATCCTGGGCTACATGAAATCTTATTTGAAACCAACCAAACAAAAAACAATAACAAAGACTTTTGTAAACTAATCAAATGCCAATTGGTGATGCAAGTTAAGTATTGCCAATCCAAAATTCTGAAATACTTTATGTCTCAAGTCTTTTTAAGAGCTAATGAGATACCACAAATAGAAAATTCTACAACCATATCCTGAAGATGTGTGCAGTGAGGAAGAGAAGGAAGTGTATAACCATGAGGATGTGGCGCAGTGAGGAAGGCACTGTATAAGCATGAGGATGTGGTGCAGTGAGGAAGGCACTGTATAAGCATGAGGATGTGACACAGTGAGGAAGAGAAGGAAGTGTATAAGCATGAGGATGTGGTGCAGTGAGAAAGGCAGTGTATAATCATGAGGATGTGACACAGTGAGGAAGAGAAGGAAGTGTATAAGCATGAGGATGTGGTGCAGTGAGAAAGGCAGTGTATAATCATGAGGACTTGGCTCGGAATCATGAACAAAGCCAAGAATGGGCATGTGAGTGCCTATAACCCCAGAGGCATGGGGCAGGGACAGGAGGATCACTGGGGCTTGCTAGATGCTAGCTTAGCTCCTGGTTAGTGAGAGACCCTGTCTCAAGAGAATAAGGTGGAGAGTGATAGAGGAAGATATGATGCCCCTCTGCCTTCTGGGAGTGCACAGGCATGCACACCTGCTCATACACCATACCACACATACATATCACACACACACACACACACACACACACTTACAGTCAGTAAAAATGCAAGTATATTAAGCATACTAAAAATATCATATAAAATTAACCTCATGATATGTGTATGTGTTTGTGTGTGTGTGTGTGTGTGTGTGTGTGAGAGAGAGAGAGAGAGAGAGAGAGAGAGAGAGAGAGAGAGAAAGGAACTGAATGCTCATTATTTACATATAAGTCCCTGACATAAAATTCCACAATCTTCCATACTTCTGGTACTAGGCATTTCAAATAAGGATACTCAAGCTGCACAGATTACACAGTAGCTAATTACATTGCTAGTTCCTCACCTGTTTTTCTCAAGCAGAAGAAACAAAAATAGCATCCCTTTATTTAGAGCACAAACCTGCCTGACTAAATTTTCTCCTCATCTCAAAGCTTCTCAAGAGACTCAAAGAACATGTTTCTTTCCTAAAAGGATTGCAGCTACTAACTATGAATCTAAGGACTGTGCTTCATTTTATAGCTTATGCTAGTACAAATTATCTTTCAAAAGAACTTCCAATAGTGCAGGTATGGTAACATGTGCCTGTAATCTCAGCACTTGGGCAGCTGAGACAAGCTTACAAGTTCAAGGTCTATCTGGCCAAGGTATATGGCTGGGCTACATAGTAACACTCTACCTGAAAAAAAACTTTTTAAAGGGTTTAGAACACAAATATATTTCAAAAATATTGGCTATTAATTCTGGAAAAAAATATTTAATACAAACTTTAAATACAAATTTAGATACTGTAAACGTAAATACTAATATTTAGTATTTAAAAATGGTAGATATTCTCCTTTAAAACTCTGACAGATTTCAAGAAGGATAACATTAACAACTCTGTTCTTTACAGGTGAGCTACTTCAGCAGAAGGTCACCTATAACTATGAAAGCCAGTTGGAGCTTAAAGAAGACAGTAGATGGGGGTGGGGAAGCCACATGCTTAGGTCTAAGGCAAGGATATCCTACCTAGAGCCCATGTCCATCCCATATGGCTTTGTATAGCCATATGGGATCTTCTGCTCAAGGGCACTCAGCTGAGGTGCTGAAATCAAGACTGCTCTATTCTCCAAGCTGTGCACCAGGTGGGTTCGCCTGCCCAGCAGCAAAGGTACCTACTACCTCATCTACAGGCACTGCCAACTAGCCAGAGACCACGGTTTCTCAAAGAAGGTGCCTTTCTCTAATTTCTAGAAAAGTGTTTCCTACCCAATATTGAAGTGGTTCGGAGAAGCTTCCAGTTATGAAATGGTCAACAATTTACTTCTAGCCCATGTGTCCTTATAAGAGTGTGCCAATGTCCTGTGAAAAAATAATCAAGCCACGTGACAACTTACTTTGCCCCCAGACGTATTTGCACTGTCTATCTCTGGTTTTACATCTTCCTCCAAAGCAAATTCCCTAAAATGAGAAAATGAATACCTATCAGTGGTAATGACATTCACTTTGCTACACAATGGAAAAGGACATACAGTTAGGGAACAGAGCACATGGGTGCTATCATCTGAATTGATTGTAACCCATTCAAACTGATCTTACTGAGATATAATTTTAGTATTCCTTTCATGTTGGCAGTCCTTGAAATTTTAGAGAAAAATGCATAGCTTACCTGAGTACCATCACACGAATACCCATCCATTTTATGCACATTTGGGGCACACTAGGAACAAAAAGAGCAAACTATCACCCAAACTCAGACAAAACATCAAGCTAACCCAATCCTGTTAATGTTCTCATTTTATATAATCATGGTTGGTAATACACCAATTCCCTTAAACTATACATAAAAGGAGATGATTAAAAGGAAGCAAGAAGAGATATATTTAATTTTTGAAAAATATGACGTCTACCAGAGGTAAAAACTGGTTGCATATTTACAGAGAAAAGAACTTACTAGAATGGCTTGGTAGACAATATGCCTTAGCATATGCTTCATTTAGACTCACTAGTCCCTAGAGAAGGAAATGGGCCTTAGGACAAAAGCCAGAAACAGGTCCCCATCAGAGAAGCCATAAGTACACTTTCCTGCCTTTTGCCACAGGGAGCAGTATAGCCTTTCACTTAAAATCCTGGGAGTACAGGACACAGCAGAGAAGGCAAGGACAGGAAGATGGAAATCCTGGGAGTACAGGACACAGCAGAGAAGGCAGGGCAGGAAGACTGAGAGGAGAACACCTAAAATGAATACATCTGAAAATCTACTATGGACTCTTGTTATTTTGTAAGCAAACTTTTCAAATAAAAACAAAAATAATTTTTAAAAGAAAAAAAGAAACAGGGAGGATTCTGAAAGAGGGGAAGGAAGACTCGCTTCTCCATGGATATTAACTTTGGGAGAGAATATTACACGCCATAACATCATCTTTCCTTGAAGTAACTTAAAGATTATAAAGTACTCAGGTGAGCACATAACTGGCCATATACAGTTTATTACTTCGGTGAGAGAAAGACACAGATTACACAGTCACTCGGGGAAGATGGCCAGTATTAAAGGACAGGAAAAAGACGTGATGGAGAAACAACCCGAATGCAGGCACTTGTCTCCTGTGAAACATACAGCTCGTCTTTCCTATAATCCTGATGTTTAAGATACAAGTAAAAGGTAATTAGATGCTTTCCATTCTGTTTGTTTTTGTCACAGAAACGTCCTTATATCATTGATGAATGATTTCATATATTCTAGTTATAATGGATATAACACATTAAATGAAGGTCACAGAACAATAATCTAAAATCATCTCTATCAAGGTGTACTGTTTAACCTAACTCAATACAGCATCTCTGTTAAACGTGGATTTTGGATTTGAGATTATTTAATAATTCCTGCTTATTTATAATCATATCAAAGTAGTATCCTCATGCCTATGAATCTTAATGGTAATTATTGTCATTAATAATGCCATGAGAGCGTGGAGAACTCTGCTAATTACATGGTAAGGGGGGATACTCTTACATAAAGATTTCTTGTATCCTTTAAATCAATCATTTTTACCATTATAGACATATTACTTCTTAATCTTTCTTCTCTGGAAGCAAAGAAGAATGTTGGTAGTCATTGCCCTGCCACACATGAATTTCAGTTTCTATAGTTTTGTTAAATAAAACCAGCTCCCTACACAAAACATAAACTTCTCTACTAGCGTTGTGTTACCAGGTCACTGGGGAAGTAGAAGATGCTGGTTGTGATGAGTGACCCTCCTGTCCCTTCTTCCCTGGTATCTTTATTTGTTTGGCTGAAACACAGCCAAGTATGTGGTTATGTTGTCTTCATTTCTTGGTGACATCATGTGAGATTTTGCAAAGATGATAATACAGAAGGATGCTAGCCAACAGTGATGCGGTGCAAGAGCTGGACGTGTACCTCCATGGTAGAACGTCTGCCTGGCATGAACCTCGGTTCGATCCCCATCCCAGTACCCACACACAGAGAGATTAGGGGTGGGGGAGAGGGAAGGGTGTTATGACAGAGACAAATGACATCTTGCCCATTTGTATTTCTCTTGTAACACACCAAAAATGTCCCTGGTTTCCTTTAATTATCATGTGTAGAGTAATTACTGTAGGTTACCTGGCTTGAATTTCCTGAACATATTTCACGAATGTCACAGTCATTCACCGCTTCTCGGCACACAGTCCCCAGAGGTTGAAACTGAAAAGAATGACATAGATGTGCAAAACTGTGAAAACATTTTTAAAAATCCTCTCATAGTCCCATATTAAAAGAAAAATGCAAACTTAAACTATTTTAAGATGACAGCCTGTACAAAACACAGATACTGAACAGCTGCTATTTTGATAACTGTAAGAGATAGCTCCTTGTAGGTGACAAAACTTCCGTAGCCACCACACATATGTGTCGCAATATCCCGCTAAAACAGGGTAAGGGTTCAAGAGTGAGTTAGCTCAAGTTCTAGGAACTCTTGCCAAGCAGCCTTTGGATTTGGGCTTGACCCTTCTGGTTTATGCCTTTATCTAATTGCTTTTGTTTCTGCTTTCTTGCCTCACCTGCCAAAAATTGCAAAGTTAAGCTTTGACCACATCATAACAAACATGAATTGAGAATCTGTGCTAATTACTGTTCAAGTGTATGGCTCTGTTCATATTATTGTTAGGAAATATAGGAGGAAAGTTAAGCCCTAAATAACTTTTAATATTGATGTAAAAGTATAAGGAGTCTGAAGATGCTGTGAGGGGAATGAAGTAGGACAGGAAATAAAGAGGCATTGTCATCTGCACGTCAACACAGTACCATCTTATCTAAAACATCCCTCTTGTTCCCTAAGTGGCTTGTGCTGAAAGATGCATCAAACTGGTCAGCAAAAAAGGAAGACTATACCGAGCATCTTCTACTCCAAAATTAGTTAACACCTGATTCTCTTTAAGGTGCCTGCACCCCAGGGAGTCAGGAGGGGAAGCTAGTCTCTGACCAGTGACACAGTTCAGGCCCTGGCCCTCTCATGCACTGGTTTTAAGACACTGGGTAAAGTACTATTAAATGGGAATATTAACCAAAACCACACTTCAGAAGACTTCATGAGATCTTGTAGCCGCTGGGAATTCAGTCATTTGCTATGTGTTAGACAGGGCTCTTGGGTTATATATGCATAGCCTTACCAGTTTAAGCACATGCCTCCCTTTCAGCCTTTGACCTCTAATTGGTAAATTATTTACCTTGCACTTTTTACAACAGAGGCCATCACTGCATTGAGAGTCCTGGGTCAAGGTGCATTTCTTACAACACTCCGCCCCTTCAAGGGCACATTCCTAAGGAATATAAGCAGGGGTAAAACATTAGAAAATGTTGTCGTTTTCCCAAAAGTACCAAGGTACTTTTGAAAGTGAATGTTCAAACTCACAATAGCAATCATCCATCCACAGATCCTATAAAATTCCTAAGATGTAATGTTGAGTACTATCTCGAAAGCATGGAGCTAGCTACCTAAAAAGGATCCTCAAAGGGACAGGGACTTACCGCAGGGGTGCCACAGTCACACTCCTCTCCAGTTTCAATGAAGCCGTTTCCACACTCGGGAGGATCAAGAAGCTGTGGGAGGGAAACCAGACAGGGCTGAAGTACAGAAACATCAATACCAAAACCTCACAGGGCTAACGGCCAAGAGCACATCTGGTGTACACTGTCTACTCTCACCATAGTTTTATTTACCTTAGAATAAAATGTACAACTTTAGAACTTGGAACTTTAGAAGATCAATTTTGGTTTCTATTTTAATATTCAGACTTAGTACTATATATTGGCATTATATAATATGTATGTCAAGTGGGGTATGGTGAATGTCACCAAAATAAAGATGATCTGGCTAGACAGAAACATTGACAAGAAACATTGAAAGCCCATTTCTGTAAGAAAGTTGGAAATCTGGAGTCAGGAATCGTAGACTACACTCGTAGAACTAGGTAGTAAGGTGCTTAAGAGTACAGCAAATCCTTAGTGTGTGGGAGGCCCTGGATTCAATAGTCAGCAATAAAATACAACATAGCACAATTTAAAAAAAAAACCAAAAAATGATGAAACCTTGATACAATCATAGCAGAGACTTTACTACCTTACTCACCATCAGTGACAGATGCTGTCCATCTAATTCATCAGCTGTCTGTAAATATCATGAGGCTCAAATCTAACCTGAGAAAATCCTGTTATTATTGTTTTCAATGGTTAACCGCACGTGAGAACCAGGTCCCATTCCCAGCACCCAAATGACAGCTCACAGTTGTCTGTAACTGTAGTTCTGACAATCTGGAACTCTTCTAGAGCCATCTTTCCAGCCCTTTGGGTTTTTATTTTGTTTTATTTTAATTAGCTTTGGTTAGACACAAAGAAATGAGTTTCAGTGTGGCATTTTCAGACTCTCTTTTTCTTTCAAGACAAAGTTTTACTATAGCCCAGGTAGCTCTGCCCCTGTAGCTCACGCTGGCTTTGAACACATGGTGAGCCCTGTGTCTTAGGTTTCTGAGTGCTGAAATTACAGGCATGAGGCTCCCAGGGTCTAAATGTGGTTCCTGAACAAAGTTACTTTTAGATTAGAAAGTGATGAGAAAATTACTGTGCCTCCTAACCTGTTCAATACAAAGCAGGACTGTGGCTGTTGAACACAGCTTTGCAGAGAACAACAGTAACAATGAGCTCTTGGAATTAAAATGGGTTTTGACCTAATCACAAGAAGATTTTTAAGCCTATTTTACTTTTTAACTGTCATCATTTTCTGTCACTTAAATATAGTTTGTCCTATGGTGATGTGTAATGTTAGTGTGCTCTAATTACTATTACATTGCTTTATAATATTAATTTAGATGTTAACCAAAATTTTCACATTACAGAATGAAAATACATACCCATACTTTCGTAGTTAGAAAGGACAAAAGAAAACAAAAGAAAATCCCCAGTAACTCCCATCAGCTAGCTATACCATCGTAATAACCCCAACTGTCCCAGATTAAAGCAGGCCATGAAATGAAGACATGTGACCCGTACGGCCAAATTGAAAAGTTGTCTTTTGTAGATCCAGCAGACACAAACTGGTGTTTATGACAGTGGGCACTGATTCATGAATAAGTAGTCTCGATCACCGTATTACCTTGGAAGGCTTGTTGAACAGGCAGGCACCACCACCACTATTCAGGAAGTCATGGTATTCCTCAATGTTGCACTGAGTGAACTTTTTCGGGAGATAGTAGCTGCCAGAGAACAGACAGTGAGTGCCTCGGTACACGGTGAGCCTCCCTTGTTTATTTACTAGTGTTCCATGTCCAGTGTTAAGATTATACATTCGTCAACCATGATGTGTCTAAACTCTTTATTTAGCAACATGTAGTAGCTGTCCATCGCTCACTTATTTGCATAGCGCCTATAATTTAAAGACAAACTTTCATTTCCAGTGCATAAATAATATGCAGTGAGCTGCAACTCAAACATCAGAGAATTCTACAAAATTTGTAATTTATAATATATGGCCTGTAATTTATAATATGTGTCCGGCCATGAAAGTTAAAGAAAACGTAAGGGAATGTTGCGGACTGCAGGAAGGTAGAGAAGCGAAGCCTAACTTGAAGCTGCACTCTGCAGCCTCAGCTGGAAACGGCTTCTCTGCTCTCTGGGTCAGCCCTGGTATAGAGAAGAAGGCTCCCCCACTCCCTGTGGCTGGAGGGAGGGGAGATTCCTGTTACAGGAAATGCACCCAAACTAGTAGCCTATGAGTCAAGGAGCCAACAGAATCCTTCCTGGTGACCTTGTGACTCTTTGTAAAGTTTGAAGTTGTTTTAAAATTATGTAACAGACAAAAGGTAATAAATGGTCCAGAGGGAAAAAGAAAGAGAAAAAAATGTCAATATGCATTAAGAATCCTCCAGATATGCAGACCTTTGGATCAGTCATTCCTGCTTTTAGGTTTGTTTCCTTACAAAACACAGCCATATGCACAAAGATAGCTATATGCACAAACAATGAGAGAGTCATAATGTGAACGCAGAGAGCATGGACGTACAAACAATGAGAGAGTCATAATGTGAATACAGAGAGCATGGACGTACAAACAATGAGAGAGTCATAATGTGAAT